ACTAGTGGTGATGTGAGTGAATTTAAGGCCAGCAAAGGTTGGTTTGAAAGATTTAAGAATCGTAGTGGCATACACAGTGTGGTAAGGCATGGTGAGGCTGCCAGTTTGGACCACAAAGTGGCTGAAAAATATGTGAAGGAATTCAAGGATTACATAGACAGTGAAGACTTGAAACCTGAACAAGTGTTTAATTGCGACGAAGCAGGCCTGTTTTGGAAGAAATTGCCAAGCAGGACCTACATTACTCAGGAGGAAAAGGCACTCCCAGGACATAAGCCTATGAAAGACAGGCTTACTCTTCTGATGTGTGCCAATGCTAGTGGTGATTGCAAAGCGAAGACTTTATTGGTGTATCACTCAGAAACTCCCAGGGCGTTCAGGCAAAAGAATACCCTCAAGGCTAATTTGTGTATGCTGTGGAGGGAAAACACTAAGGCATGGGTCACTAGGGACTTTTTCTATGACTGGTTACACCATGCATTTGCCCCAATGTGAAAAATTACCTAATTGAAAAGAAATTAGACCTAAAGTGCCTCCTGGTATTAGACAATGCCCCTTGTCATCCTACAGACTTGGCAGAGCGACTTTCTGGGGACATGAGCTTCATTAAGGTGAAGTTTTTGCCTCCTAATACCACTCTTCTCCTGCAGCCCATGGACCAGCAGGTCATTTCCAACTTCAAGAAACTGTACACAAAAGCTATGTTTGAAAGGTGCTTTGAAGTGACCACAGACACTCTATTGACTCTAAAGGGGTTTTGGAAGGATCACTTTAATATCCTCAATTGTGTAAACCTTATAGGTAAGGCTTGGGAGGGAGTGACTTAGAGGACCTAGAACTCTGCCTGGAAAAAACTGTGGCCAGAATATGTAGACAAAAGGGATTTCGAAGGGTTTGAGGCTAACCCTGGGAATCCTATGCCAGTTGAGGAATCCGTTGTGGCATTGGGGAAGTCCTTGGCGTTGGAGGTTAGTGGGGAGGATGTGGAAAAGTTGGTGGAGGAGGACAATACGAACTAACCCTGATGATTCTAGATCACTTCAAAAAAGGGCCAGACCTGGGGAAACTGTTTTGGGAGGAGGGGAGGGAGAAATTGAGGATTTTGCCACTTCAAAGATTAAGGAAATGTGTCAAAGGGGTGAAGTGCAAAGCTTTTTTGTTTAAAAATCCCCCCCAACACAGCACTGCAAGCCGTGTTGGCAACCTTACAATGACATTGTTGTAAAGCACTTTGGGAAATCTACGGGAAGAGAGGTACAGGTTCAGGGACGTAGTTGTGCGACAAAAGTCCATGACTCCAAGCTGGTCCTAGTGGCTTTAAAAGAAGAAGGGAAGAAACCCCGGAAAAGGACTTGTCCCAAGTCCAAGGGAAAGGGGGAGTCCCCCTTCTAAAAAATAGGTTCGACACTCTCCCCCCCCATCAATCTCCCAGATCTTCATTTAACCTTTAGGGTCACAGGCCCTCTCCGAAACTCTTCTCGGGTCGGCCAAATTTAAAAAAAAAAAAATTATTTTTTTTTATAAAAAAATATTTTTTTTTTCAAAACATTATGGGGCTAAAAAAAAAATTTTAACGTCAATCTTCCAATAGGGGGCGTGAAATTTGCCAAAATTGAAAACATAGGAACATGCCGACTGCCATCACCCGGTTTTTTTACTTTTTACTTTTTATGTAAATTTAAATTTTTTTTTCAATTTTTTTTTTTCTGAGTAATTTTTTTGGGCCTCTGAGGCCAACATAAATCAGTATTTTGAAAAGTTATTTTTTTTTAAAAAAATTTTCTACACAAAAGGGCGAAAACACTGTTGCTTATTTTTTTTAAAAAAATATTTACACAAAAAAGAATGAAATGTTGTTTATTATTTTTTTTCTATATTTTATATAAAATATCGTCACGGGAATGTTTCTGAATTCGGGCCCTGTAAAATTTTTGAAACATGGTGTCTGCCAGTGGTTTTACACCCCCACACAAAAAACGAGTGTCTCTCCCTTTTGTGGCGTTTTTTTTATGTAAAAAGACAACCCCTCTTCTGAGCCTTTTTCTTAAAGCAGTAGCGGGCAGTTTTCCCCGGAAAGTGATCACCATGCTTCAGACGAGCAGTTTTTTGTAAATTTGGGGGGCGGTCAATTGCAGGTGCTGTCCTTGGTACTTGAAACTATTTGCTGATGACAGACAAACAAAATTTTCCCGTATGTGGTTTGTTTCGGGTGCTCATCTTATAATATTATAAGCTTGAGCATGGAAATTCCAGAAGAGGGAAAAACTTTTGATGTCCCACTTTAACTCTTGCGAACACAATCACAAACCCAAATCTGCAGTCACTTTGTCCATGAACGCATGTTGAAGGTGAAATCAATCACAGCTGCGGGTTTTTAAAAGGGGTTCTTTCTCTCTCTATGCGCCTGCCCTGTTTGCCATTTCATTAGGGTGAATTGAGACAACGTGTGACTCCGTTTGTCATGCCCCAAAATGCATGATGTCATTGGCGCAAAGCCTGCACCTCCCCTTTACGAGGCCAGCGTCAAACTGGGATTGTTTCCGTTTTTGCGCATGTGCCCACACATCTGTCATTTTCACTCGAAAAAAATCACTGAGGGGGGGGCTTGTGTACCAGTTACGTTATAATATATCCCCCTTACCAAAAAGGGTTCTATCTTTTTTCAAAACCACTCACCAATCCCCAAAAACTTCCGGGTTTTTTTGAAATGTATAACTTCCATTACAAAAATAATCCAATCCAGACCACTGTAAAAATCACAAAGCAAAAACAATTTTATACCAAAGCTTTCCCTTGCTTGGGAAATTTTAAGCTTTAAAGAGAGTCTTCCTTTGAACAGAATCAAAGACCGTCAATTACAAGCTTCCCTGAAGGGAAAAAAAGCGTCTGAATTTCTGTTTTAGATACACAAACCCCTTCCTAATCTTATTAACCTTTTAGTTCGTCAGGGCCGTTTTTTCAGAATGAAGCATACTAACATTGCCAAATCGATTTACTGCATTTTAACACTGAAACCCGGTGTTGCAATCAGGGGGTCCCGTTGACCCGTTATTTCACTTTTTGCTTAACACAGTGGCCTAAGCATTATTTGGCAAAGAAAAGATAACTCAGCCCCAGTTTTCCTCCTTCCACTGGGGTAGCGGGTTTTGGGAAAGTAATGTTTTGCCATGGGTCTCGTAGTATGTGTTGTTTCCATGACAAAACTTTTTTTCAGGTTGTCAAAGAATAACTCGAAAAAATTCCAGTTCAGTGGCTTTTTCCCAAGTGCACAAGATGGCCGTATTCCCCTTTGGCTGTCATCAAAAATGGTGGGGATTTGGAAAAAAATTTACAGCTTCCTCAAACCCCGTGCGGTCTGCTGGGGGGTATGGACATGAAGGGGGTTTTTTGGGGTTGTGGTTTGGAGGGGGGGTGTGGTTGGGGGGTGGGCCTTTGTTCTAGTCACTGGCCCGCGGGGTGGGTGGGGCCCGGGTGGGGCATGCCCCCGCTGGTGCCCCACCCCCCCGGCACCACTAACCCCCAAGCACATTTTTCCCTCCCAATTGAATGTATCTTGTCATTTTTTACTGTCTTTTCCGGTACACCACGGGAGTCTCCGAGATATACCCTTCCCCTTGGGATAACATATGGCCCCCACCGAGCGCATTAAAACGTCGTATATTGACGCTTCACTGGGGAAATTTTTCCTTTCCACACTACTGGAACTATTTGAAGACTTGTAGTTCATATTTTACTTCCACATCACCCCTGCTCTCATCTGAGTTGGGGGTTTGGGGAAAAAAGAAGTTTTTCCTCTTGGGTTCGGAACAACTGAAGTGAACAAGAGGGCCCCCCACCCGAGGTGGAAGGTGAGGGTCGTCCCGGGTTTTCCCCTATTACCCCAATTTGGTCATTGTTTTTAGTCAAAACCTACTAAAACCAGAAACTATCTTCACGGCACTTTCCCTCACAAAACTGCACTGGGGAACAAAAAATGTCCCCCAATTCGCTGAGGGTGGGACCTTTTTACCCCGAGGCGGTGGGGCAGTTTACTAAAAGGGGATTCCCCAAGACCATGGGGCCCAGTTTTTTTTTTCAACCCCGCACACCGGGCCCGCAGACCCATTCTCCACACCTAGGCCTACCCGCCTTTTGCGCGAGATTGAGGGTGCTAAAATTTTGCGTACTAGTACTCAAAAAACCCTACGCGTAAGCGTATAGTCGACCAAAAACCCCCACAGGGGGTTTAAAGGGAATGTCATGTATTCTGTTGTTAGAGATACTACTACAAACTGTACCTGTACTTTTTTTCTTTTTGGGCCCCTTCCCCTTTTGGGAAATTGCCGATTTGTTGAAAGATGAAGAAGATAAATTTAATAGTGTTCAAGTGTTTTTATATACGACAGGGGTTCCCATAAAGAACAAAAAAGGCACAATACCGTGACTTAAACAGTGCACGTATAACTTGCACGTAGGAGAGAGAAGCTGATGACAATGTTTTGATCTGACTTGGACCTACTTGTAAATGGTCCAAGTCAGACCAAACCATTGTCATAAGCTTCTCTCTCCTATGTGCAGGTTATTTGTGAATGAGCTCCCATAAAGATAGTTCAGTGTTCCTCGTTGAGGGATATTACTTGTAACTATGTCATGAGCTTGTATTAATTATTTTTTTTTAACTTGCTTGATATAGGTAAACATGTCAAAGGATAACTAATGTATGTGCACAGTATAGATATTTCAATATATGTGGTAAAACAAATATTTTTGTGCATGGTCAAGTCTTTTTTTTTTATTATTTACACATTGGCTACTTCCCACCAAGACAGAGTGACCCAAAAAGTAAGAAAACACTTTCATCATCATTCACTCCATCACTGTCAAGTCTTATCATGAACTTTTTTTGCTAATTTGATAGAATATGTCATTGTTGTTTTCACAGTATATCAGCATATCTGATCAAGAAACTGATAATAATTTAAATAAAAAGTTAATCTGATGATCTCCCTAAATAATTTCAGGTGGAAACCTCCAGGAGGTAACACTGGAGGAGAGTATAAGGTACAGTGATGGTGACCCTGTTGAAGCTTGGTTGCATCAGCTCTTATGCTTGAATGCAACCTGCAGTGTTGCACACACCATGATGTGCCCTCCGCCTCACAACTGTCAACTCTACCATGTCAACAGGTCACTAATATTAGCAGGCCACTTATTTTTACAAGTAGCCAATAGTATGGGTAGTAAATTTTCAGTGATGGTTTGTTTTGTCATGGATCATTATCAGGTTATGAGCTGGGATTTTTTTTATCATCATGTTATGAGTAAGAAACTTCTTTTTCATTATCAAGTTATGAGTTGGGAATTTCTTTATCACTAGAAAGTTGTTATTTTTTTCAACAAACCGGCTATATTCCACAGAGGTAGGGTGACCTAAAAAGATAAACAAAAAGTTTTTCTTTTTTAAATTTAGTAATTTATACAGGAGAAGGAGTCACTAGCCCCTTGTTCCAAGCATTTTAGTTGCCTCTTACAATACACATGGCTTACAGAGGAAGAATTGTTATCCACTTCCCCATGGAGCATTATCAAGTTACATTAACCCTGTCATGGTCAAAGAATTTAAAAAATAATTATTTTTACTTTTGAAATGATAGAGAATCTTTTTCCAAAGGTAAGGAAACCAAAATTACAAAATTTAATGAAAAACTTATGGAATTACGCTATCACAAAGTTAGCGGTCTCTGCAATATTTATGCATTGGCGATTTCGCCCACTGTGAAGGTTTACTCAGCCCTGTCAGACCCTCTGAGATTATTTGACAAGACTGGCTCCTCCTTATGGAAATAAAAAGAAAATTCAATAACAACATAATAAGATAAACAATTTTATTATAATAAGCATCAGTCAGTAATATAAAACACTTGAACATAAAATTAACCCTTTGAGGGTCCGTGCCATAGATCTACGGCTATACATTGAGGGTCCAAACTGTAGATCTACGCCATGAGCTCACCTCACTCTGATAAGCTGTGAGTGGTAAATTTGGGCCTAGATATGAGAGAATATATCTATGTGGTATGTGTGCGCCACATAAAACAAATCCTGCAGCACACAGTGCATAATGAGAGGAAAACTGAGACCGTAATTTTCGATTAAAACAGCAACTTTGCAGTGTTTTTTCGAATGCTTTTTATAGTTGTCTTTGCGATTTCTTGGTCTCATTTGATATAATGAAAGATATATTACAGAAATAGAGATGATTTTGATTGGTTTTAGTAATGGAAATGGGTTGAAACTGAGCTCAAAATAGCAGAAATGTTAAATTTTTGCAGATGTTCAAGAGTAAACAAATGATCCCACACATCTAATACACTCCTGCTGGTGGGTCTAATATACGTTCACAAATGTGGTGATATTATTTATACAATTATTACAGTATTGCATAACAGTAAATCTTCTATTTTTTGGTTTGAATAAAAATTCATTGTAATAAAAAATCAAAATGGAATTCATTTGTAAAGCCTGAAAACATAACTAATGAACAGAGGAAATGTTAGTTTAGTTCCAGGAATGCCTGCATTGTTTATTCTGGACCCTATTTTGAAATTAGAATATTTTGAACTTCGCATTAAATTGGCCAAATTACCAATTTCCGATCACTTTATTTTGTAGTTGAAATAGTTGACTTGGTGATTTCTTGTGCTCATTCGATAGAATAGAAGTAATACTAGTGAAATAGCTAAGAATTTGGTCGACTGGAGTATTATAATTGGCATTAAATGGGAGTCAAAGTCGGCAAAATCACTGTTGTGTAAATATCGCTGACACCTCAAAATTCACGAGAGCATAATTTCGTCAATTTTCCATCAAATTTCATACGTTTTGTTTTATTACCTTCAGAAAAAGATTCTCTACCAATTCATAAGAAAAAATAAAATTATTTTTTGAAAATTCTTGGACACTGGTACGCACTTCAAAATTTAGCCTTTGGACCCTGGCAAAATTGCCAATTTCTAACCACTTTATTGGATAGTTGAAATCAGTAAATGGGTGGTTTCTTGTACTCATTCGATAGAAAAAATGGAGTTCTAGTGAAATTAATATGATTTTTGTTGACTAGTACACAGGAATTGGCCGAAAAATAGGCTCAAAGTGGGCGAAATCGCCGATGTGTAAACATCATCGAGACCTCTAACTTCGCGAGAGCATAATTCCCTAAGTTTTCCATCAAATTTCATACTTTTGGTGTCATTATGATCGGGAAAAGCTTCTCTATCATTTCATAAGAAAAAACAATATTTTTTTTCCTGAAAAATTTTTGACCCTGAGAACGAGTTTAGGAGAGGGCCTCTCGAACCTGAAAGGGTTAATATGTACACAATGAACGGTATAACGGTGCCATGCCAATGTTCTGGGCATGTATCTTTGAATGGTTCTGGAACTTGAAGCCGTTGTTGATGATGGGGGAGGGGGAGGTCACAGCTGGTCATGATTAAACAGTCGACAATGCCCTCAACAAGATTATATTTGTGGCGAGGAGAGGTGGACTGATTCTCTAACCACTACCCTACTGTTGAGACAAGTAAGTAGCCCATCAAGACACCAGGAATGCTGGTGTAGTTACAGTTGGGAGAATGCTGTGTAGCTGAATGGTGTGTAGCTGACTGGGTGGTCGGCTACATGTGGAAGGGTGGGGGCGGACCAGTGTAGGTAGAGAGGTGCAGTGACGTCTTCTGGTCTTCGCAAGATCAGTTCTCCCTTATCTTATCTCTGCATGAGTTGGATGACCCGAGCCGACAATCAAGGAGATGCGATGGGAGCTGCCAGTCAGTTCATTTACTACAGGTCGGAGATGATCACGTCACCTCCCACCGGGTGTAAAAAAGGGGGAGGGGATAGCGGGAGCTAGGCACCCACCTTACCTGAACAAGCAGACTGCCCAACAAACTACAGCATTCATTCATTTGTACTTTCACTACTCCTATCTAATGAACTTTTCCCCTCATACCCACTTTGAGCCCTATTTTGGTCAATTCCATTCTTCCAGTGGACCAAACTTATAGTTATTTTGCTTGCATTTCCTCTATTCTGTTTATTGAGTACAAGAAACCGTCCATCTACCTATTTCATCTACCCATTAAAGTGATCAGGGATCGGTAATTTGACTAATTTCATACAAATTTCATCAACTGCCAATTTGAAAATATGGCACTAAATAAACATTTCCTCTGCTCCTTAGTCACATCTCCAGGCCCCTCTTATACAGTGGATCCTCGGTCAACGATATTAATCCGTTCCAGAGAGCTTATCTTTAGGCGAATTTATCGTTAGTCGAATTAATTTTCCCCATAAGAAATAATGGAAATCCAATTAATCCGTTCCAGACAGCCAAAAGTATTAAAAAATTTTTTTTTTTCATGAAATATACATTTCCCTACATAGAAAACAATGTGACATGCACAATAACTACATAAATAAATGTTAAAATGACACTTACCTATATTGAAGAGTATTGATGAATAATGAGACACTGTTTTTCTTGAACACTCTGGGATTTTCAGTGATACATGAGTAAAGGCTTCACTTTGCAATCCCCACTAGCAGTACAACAAAACATGAGAGTTTGCCTATCTTTCATAGGCTTGTGTCCTGGGAGTGCCTTTTCCTCATGAGTAATGTAGGTCCTGTTTTGCTTTTTCTTCCAGAACAGGCCTATTTCGTCACAATTGAACACTTGTTGGGGTTGGAATTTTTCAGCTTCACCATGCCTTATCGCACTGTGTATGCCACTATGATTCTTAAATCTCTCAAACCAACCTTTGCTGGCCTTAAATTCACCAATATGAGCACTAGTTCCAGGCATTTTTTACTGTTCACCTGGGTGCTAGTCAACTGGTGTGGGTCGCATCCTGGGGGACAAGATTTAGGACCTGAATGGAAATAAGTTAGACAGTCCTCAATGACGCACTGACTTTCTTGGGTTATCCTGGGTGGCTAACCCTCTGGGGTTAATTGTTTCTCGGTAATTGTTTCTCGTTAAGCCACACCAACAACGCTCTCTCCACATCTTTGAGTAGTACAGCTGATGGTGGTGGAGCAGCAACAGCTGACTGTGGTGCAGCAGCAGCTGACTGTGGTACAGCAGCAGCTGACAATGGTGCAGCAACAGCTGACGGTGGTGCAGCAGCAGCTGACGGTGGTGCAGCAACAGCTGACTGTAGTGCAGCAGCAGCTGACTGTGTACAGCAGCAGCTGACGGTGGTGCAGCAACAGCTGACAGTGGTGCAGCACCAGCTGACCGTGGTACAATAGTATTTCGATAGTATTTCTCACCCTTTTTACCACAGGGTTGGCAGTAGAAGCTTTTTTTGGGCCCATGGTGGCTTATTTAGCAGTTACAAGCGCTAAAAAGAATGGAATACGTAATACAAAATTTATCAAATATATGTGTGGAACCATCCACCCCGGCTTGTAAACAGTGACGGCAGGGCAGCTGAGGCGCTCAGGCTGGACAGACAAGCTCGGGACGAATCATGTTGGTTGAGTTTTCCATCGTTGGTCAGCCAAAATTTTTACGCTCAAACGCTTCGTTGGACGAATTTATCGTTAGACAATGCCTTCATTGGCCGAGGGTCCACTGTATTATGCTTGCTTTTCATTTTTAATTTTTATTCACACAAAAAATAGAAAATTTAAGTTTATGCATATGCAGAATATTGAATTATTGTAATAATTAAATAAATAATGTCATTGCATTCCCAAATGCACATTAGACTGTCCAATTGGACCCATATTGGAAAAGTGATGTCATTTGTGCTCTCTGGAATATCAGCAAAAAATCGAACATTTCAGCTAATTTGAGCTCAATTTTAAGCTACTTTCAGCCATGAAACTAATCAAAATCATCTCTATTTCTATCATATGTCTTCCATTCCATCATCTGAGACCAAGAAACCAAGATTATAACTATAAAAACCTAAAAATTATACTGCAAAGTTGTTTTAAACCAAAAACAGTTTGTTTCTTTATGCACTGTGTGCTTCAGATTTTTTTTATGAGGTGCACATTTACCGCATAGACCCATTTTTTCATATCTAGGCCCAAATTTACTGCTCGCAGTTTATCTGAGTGAGCTGAGTTCATGGCATCATACTATGGGACTGACACTGGCTTCAAAGCCATAATACAATGGGACCGACACTGAAAGAGTTAACATTCCTTGTTCTTTATTTCCTCTCATCTCCATGGGAAAGTGGAAAAGAATTCTTCCTCCGTAACCCCTGCATGTTGTAAGAGATGACTAAAATGCTGGGAGCAAGGGGTTAGTAATCCCTTCTCCTGCATAAGTTACTGAATTTAAAAAGAAACACTTTTGTTTTTCTTTTTAGGTTACCCTGCCAGGGCGGGATACAACCAGTGTGTTAAAGAAAAAAATTACTAGTTGACTAACCCTAATTGAAGACACATTAATACCTGGTAAACACAATTTATTTCACTGTATTTCCACCCTGATATCATTTCTTACTCTTACAGAAATGTATTGTTTAGCAGTCATAGAGAGAGTGAAGAATTCCTGAACCAAGTAATGTCTCTGCTCGTAGCTTCTCACTACCGCAATTCTCCTGATGACTTGCAGGTGCTCAGCGATGCTCCAGCACACCACCTGTTTGTTTTGCTTCCACCCATCTTTGCTGGAATGACAGCACTGCCAACTGTCCTAGCAGTTATACAGGTTTGATCTAATATACATTTCTCAAGTTTCAAGACTTTGTGTTAATACTTGGTGATCACCATGGATGGGACAGGTAATGCTAGCAACATCCTCTCTCCTCCAACATTCATTATCCTTCAGCTATGCACATTATTTGTTCTTATGCTCCTCAGTTTTTGCTCATAAGGTTCTTGTAGGTGCTGTTGACTCACTACATGATTCCATGGGTACTATACTCTGGGCATTCTTTTAGTACCTATTTCATACTGTATTTTTTTCCTGACAACTCTCACAACACTGTTTGAAAAAGTATGTCAAGGTTATTACAAAAATATATGTAGCTCCTAGGTAGTAGGTTGGTAGACAGCAACCGCCCAGGGAGGTACTACCATCCTGCCAGGTGAGTGTAAAACGAAAACCTGTAATTGTTTTACATTATGGTAGAATTGCTGGTGATGTTTGTCTGTCTCATAAACATGCAAGATTTCAGGTATGTCTTGCTACTTCTACTTACACTTATGTCACACTACACATACGTGTACAAGCATATATATATACACACCCCTCTGGGTTTTCTTCTATTTTCTTTCTAGTTCTTGTTCTTGTTTATTTCCTCTTATCTCCATGGGGAAATGGAACAGAATTCTTCCTCCATAAGCCATGCGTGTCGTAAGAGGCGACTAAAATGCCGGGAGCAAGGGGCTAGTAACCCCTTCTCCTGTATATACTATTACTAAATTTAAAACGAGAAACTTTTGTTTTTCTTTTTGGGCCACCCCACCTCAGTGGGATACGGCTGGTGCGTTGAAAGAAAGAAAGAAAGATATGTAGCTAAAAGTCTAGCCTTTGAAGGTGTTTTTCTGTGCAGGTTCTGGAACACCAGCAATTCACTTTCCTCTTTCCTATCTCTTACAGTTCATTTAGCTCCCTTCTGCCTTTTGTTCTTTATTGAAAAGGCCTGTTTTTCTATACTGTCGTCAAGTCTTGGCCCACAATACCTGCCAGGCAGCATCTCCCTGTATTGTTCACAAATCTGAAGAAAGCTCTGACACAAAACAATATTGTACAAACAACAGGCAGGCCTAAACTAAGCTGTTAGGTTTTGTAATAGGCCCTTTGTAATTGTAATTGTAATTGTCCCTCTGCTCATGTAAACTTTAAGTTCTTCACATATATAACACTCCCAGAGTTGTAACTGAAACTTACTTATGTCATGATCGTCCTTCCTCTTCTTAGAACCAACGTGGATAAGCAGTTCTTATCACAAAATCCAAAGGCACAGTGAAAGTTTATAGCATTCCATGTAGGAGATATAATAAATTCTATTTTTGTAAAATAACCTTAGATTTGAAGGCACACCTTTTGGAACTCAGGTGTATATGCAGAATAATAATAATGTTTAATTCTTTATGCCATGTAAATCATGTAATTTAAATGAAAAAATATTGTGGTAGGCACAGAATAAAACCACTAATTATACAGTGCATTATTATTAGCCGGTTTTTCAGCTACATGAAATGATAGAGAAAAGATTCTCTATCATTTCATGATAAAAAATAATTTTCTTTTTCGAAAATTTTGTAACACAAAGAGAGAGACTTTAGGATTTGGGGTCGTGACAGTCAAAGGGTTAAAACCCTTTTCTTCATCAAAACGAAGTACAGTTTTTTTATTAACACGTTGGCCATTTCCCACTAAGGCAGGGTGACCCTAAAAAGAGGAAACGCTTCATCTTCATTCACTTCAGTATTGTCTTTCCAGAGGCATGCATACACTACAGGTTGGCCATCACTAATCCGGCATCATTGGGACCTGTAGGGTGCCAGATTAGGGACTTGCCAGATTACAGAGTGGTTAGGTTAGAATACACTTAACCCAGTGGTGAAATTTATGCATCAGCAATTTCACCCACTTTACACCCTACTTTTGGCCCATTCCGTCGTTTCAGTCTACCAAACTCAGAGCTATTTTGCTAGTATTCCTTCTATTTTGTTGATTGAGTACAAGAAACTGCCCATTCACCTGTTTCAACTACCCAGCAAAGTGGTCACAAATTGGTAATTTGGCCAATTTCACACAAATTTCAAAAGATGCCAATTTCAAAATAGGGTCCAGAATAAACAATGCAGACATTCCTGGCACTAAAATAACATTTTCTCTGCTCATTAGTCACATCTCCAGGCCTCTCTTACATTACTCTTACTTTACATTTTGAATTTTTATTCACACGCAAAAAATAGAAGATTTACTGTTATGCAGACTACTGCATTATTTTAATAATTGTATAAATAATGTCAATCCATTCATGACTGAGTATTAGACTGGTCACTTAGACATGTATTGGACAGTGACATCATTTGTTTACTCTGAAACATCGGCAAAAATCGAAAATTTCCGCTACTTTGAACTCAATTTCAAGGTACTTTTTGTTGTGAAGGAAATCAAAATCATATCTATTTCTATAATACTATATCCTCCATTCTATCAAATGAGACCAGAAAAATGAGAATACCAATAACAACCATTTGAAAATACACCACGAAGTTGTTGTTTTGCACCACGGTCACAGTTTTTTTTCTCATTATGCATTGCGTGCTGCAGGATTTTTTTTTATATAGTGCACACTTACCAAACAAACCTATTCTCTCATATGTAGGCCCAAATTTACCATCACAGCTTAACCGAGTGAGCTGAGCTCATGGCAACCAACAGTGGCTTCAAAGCCACCTTATCTTTTATGGACAATGTGCGGTGTATGTGTGTTACACAACGAGAAGCATTTCTTTCATTCATTGGAACTATGGCTAGGGCTATAAGTAAGCAGGTTATAACAATAATGACTAATGCAGCAAGTAGTGCCACCAAACAGTAGTAATATGTTGGTGTGGCAACCCTGGAAATTTGAAATTATGCTAGCCAGAATTAGTGCCGGATTACTGATGGGAAACCCGATTACTGAAGGCCGACTTGTACAGTTTAAAAATTGGAACATCAGCATCCCTCCGTCAGAGTGCAAGCACTGTGTTTCCCACCTTCAGGGCTTAAGTCCAGCTTGTTGGTTTCCCTGAATCCCTTCATAAATGTTACTTCGCTCACACTCCGGCTTATAACACTACAGTGCTTTTAAGGTTATTAATCACTTATTCATTAATAAAAGTTTTATATTAATTACAGTAGTCCATCCAGCTTACAACCGAGCTTGGTTCTGACCAACCGGTTGTAAGTCAAAATGGACGCTTATCCGTTCCAGACACCCAAAAATACTAACAAAAAATACATTTTTCCAAGATTAATTATAGTTTGACATACACAAAACACTGATAACTAAATAAAATAAATTAAGAACATTTAAATCACTATTACATACCTTTATTGAAGAGTGTTGTTGGCTTATGGAAAACAGGGAGGAAGAGAGAGGGAGGGCAGAGTATTGTTTGGAAGGGGAATCTCCCTCCGTAAGGACTTTAGATAACAAGTCCCTCTCTTAGGTTACTTCCCTTCTTTGTCTTTTAATCCCACTAGGACCAGTTTGAGAGTCACTGGGCCCCTGTTGCACAAAACAACTGTCCAGGTGCTCTGTTTCTGGCATCTCTTTAAGATTTCCCTAAAATGGGACAAGGTTTTGTCACTGAACATGTTGCAGATATGGCTTGTTTCAGCTTGATCAGGGTGATATTTCTCCACAAAATTTTGCACCTCATTCGACTTTGCACAAATGTCCTTAATCACTGAAGAAGGCACATCCTTCCCTCTCTCTTCCTCCTCCTGTACTGAAGCAAGTTCTTCAGCTGTGGTATATCGCTGTTCCAGCTGAAGGTGTTGCAGCTCTTCAGTGGTTAGCTCTTCCCTGTGGTTCTCCATCAACACTTCCACATCCTTGCCACTCACATCCAACCTCGTGGACTTTCCCAATGCCATAATAGATTCCATCACAAGCAGAGGGTTGACAGGGTCAGGGTCAGCCTCAAACCCTTCAAAATCCTTCTCGAGGACACAGTCTGGCAAGAATTGTCTCCAAGAAGAGTTCAAAGTCCTGGAAGTCACTCCCTGCCAAGCCTTACCTATAAGGCTTATTCAGTGGAGGATATTTAAGTAATTCCTCCAGAACTCTCTTAGGGTCAATTCAGTGTCCGAGGTCACTTCAAAGCACTTTTGAAACACTGCTTTTGTGTAGTTTTTTGAAGTTAGAAATGACCTGCTGCTCCATGGGCTGGATAAGAGGAGTGGTGTTAGGTGGCAAGAACTTCAGTGTTATAAAACTGAAATCCCTAGACAATTGGTCTACCATGTTTGGGGGATGAGCAGGAGCATTGTCCATTACCAGGAGGCACTTGAGTAGCAATTTCTTTTCCAGGAGGTATTTTTTCACACTCAGGCCAAACACTTATGGGTCCAGTCAATGAAAAGTTGCCTCGTGACCCATGCCTTATGATTATCTTTCCACATCACACACAGTTTACTCTTGATGACATTGTTTTTCTTGAACACTCTGGGATTTTCTGAGTGATACATGAGTAAAGGCTTCACTTTGAAATCCCCACTAGCATTACCACACAACAAAAGAGTTAGCCTGTCTTTCATAGGCTTGTGTCCTGGCAGTGTTTTTTCCTCCAAAAGAGGCCTCCTTCGTCACAATGGAACACTTGTTGGGGTTGGAATTCTTGTCTGTAAATACCACTTGAATTCCTGCACAAATTTTTCAGCCGCACGTTTGTGAGAACTTGCAGCCTCCCCATGCCTTACAACACTGTGTATGCCACTACGCTTCCTAAATCTCTCAAACCAGCCTCTGCTGGCCTTAAATTGACAAACATCATCACTAGTACCAGGCATTTTCTTTATGAGATCTGCATGCAATTGCCTTGCCTTTTCACAAATGATCGTCTCTGAAACACTAACTGGTTTTCCTTGATCCACAACATCAACAACAACTTCTCCACATCTTCATTAGTTTGTGATCTCTTTTTCATTAACAGGTTTACCTTTTTTGCCACATCAGCTTCCTTGATTTGTTCTTTCTTTGCCAGGATAGAAGTGATTGTTGATTTATTTTTGTCATACATCCTGGCAAGTTCCAGCACCTGTACACCACACTCATATTTTTCTATTACTTCCTTCTTAAATTCCATCATGTTTCTCACTTTCTTTACCAAAGGAACTTCACTAGGAACTTTCTTGGGGCCCATGGTGACTTTCACAGTCACACTTAATAAAAACTACGAAAAACAATGGATTTTAAGGAAATGTTTGGATGAATGCACGGAGTATATGCTCACTCGCCGACAGACAAAGGGAGACTGATTCATCAAAGCCTGGCGTCCTGGTGGGAGAGGTGGGTTAATGCGTCTAATATGGCTGATATACATAGCAACGGCTGAAATACGGAGCAAAATTTCCGCTGAAAAACTGGCCTAAAAACGAATCTGCCAATAAATAAAATGGCCGAAAAATGAGGTTCCACTGTACCTACATAGTATCATATGTTACTTTTTACTAAATATTTTACTACTGTATATGCTGCCAAACATATTACTTTTTACTAAATATTTTACTACTGTATATGCTGTCAGAGGTACGGTCGTAAGTACGAGTGGTCATATGTCAAGCAGATCGTAAGTCGGATGGTACTTGTATATATTTTATAATGTTATTCCTAATTTTAGGTGTGTTTGGAGGGAGGGATCCCAGCCTCAGTAGCAGAGTCATGTATGAGCCGTGGTGAGCGACCCTCTGGTGACCTGGTACCCTGGAGCCTGGCTTCACAGTTCCTGGATTCTACTCTCACATCACTTGTAGGGGCAAGAATTGTGAGAGTAGCGACACATCCAGACTGCCAAGTAATGTCAATATTCTTAAGTGTTTTACATAAGTCACTAAAAATATGTAATTCCAGTTCTTTTTTTATCCTACTTGGTTGTGGCCATTATGGGCTCTTGTACATGTGTAGTGCAGAATGTGTTATTTGTCTGCACGTGTCTTTCTGAAAGCTTACATACTTGACTTCACTAGGTCTATTTATTTATTTCATTAGTATGTCAGTTCTTGTAACTTGTGTTTTTCCTGTTGGGCTGCCCTGCCTTGGTGGGATATGGCCGGTTTGTTGAAAGAAGAATTCTTTCAACAAAACTCATCAATATAGCATACAGTAATCTCATAACTATCAAGATTCATACTCTTGACACATGAGATGTGTCAAGTGCATGACACTGGCAGCATTTGTGCCCATATACACCATTATTAAAGAAATGTAACTATTAAGTCAGTGGATTATTATTCATGGGACTCAAATATAAACAGTAACAATAAGGTAAGTTAATCAGAGGGTGGTTTAGATTGTGCTTTGGGACTATTTATTTACATGTTTTACCAGGCATTATTATATAGAAAACCACAATAGCTTAATTTCTTTCCCTAATTTAATTAAGAGTCATTCAGTCAGTCATCAGCCAGGCTATGGAAAGGTTTACAGTGAACCCATAGGCATCTCACCTGGCACAGTCTGTGCCTTCAAAAAAATAGGTCAAATTGTGATTTCATTCCATGCATTTAATGTCAGTCCTGGTGTGATGTGGATCACATCAATACAATAAGAGGAGAGTATCATAGCAAAATGACTGACTAACCATACCACAGTTGGGGTTAAAGCCCACTGGCCCGATGGCTAATGCGCCGGTCTGGAGTTTTATGACTCTCTGATCGCGGGTTCTAACTCCACCCGTGGTATGGTTTGTTTGTAATTGTGTCATTACGATTTCGTGAGTCAAAATGACTGACTGATGGGCATTTCCAGGGAGTTGTCCTGGTTACCCTGACACCTTTCTCCAAACCCAGGCTGCTCATCTGAAATGTCTTTGGTCTGCCATCATCCCTCTACTTACCTGTCTGTTTAATATTAAAAGGATCAGACTCAAGTGATTTGATTATAAGACTTATTCTTGTGTGTGTAATTCTGGGTCATACCAGCAAATATCTTACTTCTAAGTAGTAGGCTTGTATGGTAGACAGCAACCTCCCAGGGAGGTACTACCGTCCTGCCAAGTGAGTGTAAAATGGAAACCTGTACTTGTTTTACATGATGGTAGGATTGCTGGTATCTTTTTTCTGCCTCATAAACATGCAAGGTTTCAGGTACGTCTTGCTACTTCTACTTACACTTAGATCACACTGCACATACATGTACAAGCATGTATATACAAAACCCCTCTGGGTTTTCTTGTATTTTCTTACTAGTTCTTGTTCTTGTTTATTTCCTCTTATCTCCATGGGGAAGTGGAACAGAATTCTTCCTCTGTAAGCCATGCATGTCGTAAGAGGCAACTAAAATGCCAGGAGCAAGGGGCTAGTAACCCCTTCTATATATATGTTACTAAATTTAACCCTTTCAGGGTCCCCAGGCCCTCTCACAGACTTGTTCTCAGGGTCGCCCAAATTAAAAAAAAAAAAAATTCTTATGAAAAGATAGAGTCTTTTCCCGATCATAATGACACCAAAAGTATGAAATTTGATGGAAAACTTACGGAATTATGCTCTCGTGAAATTAGAGGTCTCGATGATGTTTACGCATTGGTGATTTTGCCCACTTTCAGCCCTATTTTCGGCCAATTCCTGTGTACTAGTCGACAAAAATCATAACTAGAACTACATTTTTTTCTATCGAATGAGTACAAGAAACCACCCATTTACCGAATTCAACTATCCAGTACAGTGGTCAGAATTTAGCAATTTTGCCAATTTCACACAAATTTCAAAAGATGCCAATTTCCAAATAGGGTCCAGAATAAACAAGAAAGACATTCCTGGCACTAAAATAACATTTCCTCTGTTAGGTAAGACACATATGCAACAGTTAGGTATCTTTATTTCGAAACGTTTCGCCTACACAGTAGGCTTCTTCAGTCAAGTACAGAAAAGTTGATAGAAGCAGAAGATACTTGAAGACGATGTAATCAGTCCATCACCCTTAAAGTTTTGAGGTGGTCAGTCCCTCAGTCTGGAGAAGAGCATTGTTCCAAGTATCTTCTGCTTCTATCAACTTTTCTGTACTTGACTGAAGAAGCCTACTGTGTAGGCGAAACGTTTCGAAATAAAGATACCTAACTGTTGCATATGTGTCTTACCTAACAACCTGTCGGTATTTTATATTGGAACAATGCTCTTCTCCAGACTGAGGGACTGACCACCTCAAAACTTTAAGGGTGATGGACTGATTACATCGTCTTCAAGTATCTTCTGCTTCTATCAACTTTTCTGTACTTGACTGTAGAAGCCTACTGTGTAGGCGAAACGTTTCGAAATAAAGATACCTAACTGTTGCATATGTGTCTTACCTAACAACCTGTCGGTATTTTATACCATTTTATTGTTCAACATTTCCTCTGTTCATTAGTCATGTCCCCAGGCCCCTCTTACATTCTTTTGCTTTCCAGTTTGAATTTTTTATTCTCACAAAAAATAGAAGATTTACTGTTATGCAGACTACTGTATTAGTGATTAGTGTAGAAATGGTATAAATAATATCGGCTCACTTGTGAAAGAATATTAGACTCGCCAATTGACGTGTATTGGACGCTTAGCATGATTTGTTTACTTTTGAACTTTGGTAAAAATCGAACATTTCTGCTAATTTGAGCTCAATTTCAAGGTACTTTTCATTGTAAAACCAGTCAAAATCATCTCAATTTCTGTAGTATGTCTTCCATTCTATAAAATGAGACCAGGAAAACTAGAATACAACAATAAATACCATATGAAAATACAGTGCAAAGTCGTTGTTTTAATCCAAAAACATGGTCAAAGTTTTTTTTTTCTCATTACGCACCGTGTGCTGCAGGATTTTTTTTTATACTGCGCACACTGACCACATAGACCCATTCTTTCATATGTAGGCCTACCAGCTTTCTCTCACTAGATTTGAGGGCGCTAGAATTTAGGTGTACTAGTACGTCAAAAACCCTGGGTCGTAAGCCGTACTAGTACGTCAAAAACCCTGAAAGGGTTAAAAAGAGAAACTTGTATTTTTCCTACCAGCTTTCTCTCACTAGATTTGAGGGCGCTAGAATTTAGGTGTACTAGTACGTCAAAAACCCTGGGTCGTAAGCCGTACTAGTACGTCAAAAACCCTGAAAGGGTTAAAAAGAGAAACTTTTATTTTTCCTTTTGGGCCACCCTGCCTCGGTGGGATATGGCCGGTTTGTTGGAAGAAGAAGAAATATCCTATCTGTGGCCTCATTAAATCCATAACATTAATTATATTTCCTAATTATTATCTCGAAGGGATAGCAGAGGCACTCATTTGTAGTTTGTAGCACCTAACCATGATCCTGTATGGCTAAAAGGCAGGTTCTGGCCCTTGTGGAGGGTCATGTGATGACACAATACCATGAGAACAGCTCTCTCCCTGTAACTGCAAATATGGACTTGTAAGATTTTTATAAACAGCTGATTTGTCTTTTGAGTGTGTAAAGTACTAGATATAAAAAAATTCTGGAATAAAAGGTATACCCATGACTTAGGACTGGGATACAATATTATAGCCAGAGGCAGGTAAACCAGTGTTATTCTTAAAATACTATTTTTGTGTATCCTACTTTAACCTTAGAAACCATATTTTTAATGTTTAATTATTTCAGTCAATGGGCTATGGGTCAAGAGCTGTGAACCTCCTTAGTGACTACTACAAGGGAAAGCATCTTCCTCTGGATGATGAACAGAACTCTTCACTGACTGTAGAGAAGGCTGACTCCACTGAAAATGTTATTGGTAAGTTTATAAGATCCTAAGTAGTAGGTTGGTAGACAGCAACCACCCAGGGAGGTACTACCATCCTGCCAAGTAAGTGTAAAACAGAAGCCTGTAATTGTTTTACATGATGGTAGGATTGCTGGTGTCTTTTTTTCTGACTCATAAATATACTTCTACTTGCACTGAGGTCACACTACACTTGCATGTACAAGCATATATATACACACCCCTCTGGGTTTTCTTTTATTTTCTTACTAGTTCTTGTTCTTATTTACTCTTATCTCCATGGCGAAGTGGAACAGAATTCTTCCTTCGTAAGCCATGTGTGTCTTAAGAGGTGACTAAAATGCCAGGAGAAAGGGGCTAGTAACTCCTTCTCCTGTATACATTACTAGAGTTAAAAAGAGAAACCTTTGTTTTTCTTTTTGGGCCACATTGCCTTGGTGAGATACGGCCAGTTTGTTGAAAGAAGTTTTAAGAACATTGTCTTGTCCACCTCAGTTAAGTTATCAATAAGGAGAGGAGAGGCACATCTGGAAAGGATGAAAAATTATAGAGAGAAAATATTTTAAAAATGTTAGGCATGACATGGCTTTCCAGTATCTAGCAAAACCTGTACAACATCACTTCAGCCATTGCATGAACATGCAAGGCATTCTTCATTATTTGTCACTAAAACAAAATATCAGGCCATTTATTCCATCTTACCTATCAGTTTACATTTAGTCATGTTTATAACTGCTTCTCGTGCATTTTTCACATACTTAACAACGTAATTTCTTCTCTCCCAAACTCTCTACTCCTCGGAACTCTTCTGTCCTCTGCCTTCCCTACATTTCTGGTCTTTCTAATCTCAACAATTCTCTCCGTCCCTTAGACATCAAGCTTACCTTCCGCCAGACTAACACTCTTCGCACTAATCTCGTTCATACCTCTCCTCCCTCTACAGATGTTCCTGGTGTCTACTCTATTTCTTGCTCCTCCTGTCCTCTTCAATACTTTGGAGAAACTGGCCGATCTCTTTCTGACAGACTTAGGGAGCACAAAAATAGTGTTAGGCTTGCCGACACTAACAATGCTCTTCTCTGTCACGTCAGAGATCACAGCCATCCTATAGACTGGTCTTCTGCTAAAACTGTCTTCCCTACTTCCAACTTTAACAGTTGCCGTCTTGTTGAATCCTCTCTAATACACAACTTTCCTTGTATGAATCTTAGTCCTGGCTTCGTCTCTGTAGATGCCTTCCTCTCCCACTACATTGTAAAATGCTCCAAACTTCAGAACACCCGTGACAACCTGATTCCTCATTTTTTCTTCTTCTCCCTCTTCCCCTTTCCTCTTTCTTTTTTGTCTTTCTTCTGTCGTGTGTTTCTGTTCCTTCATCATTTATTTCATCACTTCCCCTTCCCCCCACCTCTGTGCACTTGCTCTCCCTCTGTGGGCACCTAGCTCCCTTGCAGTGCTCCCCTTTCTTTATATTTGACTGGCTCCTCCTCCTTAGTTCCCCACTACTACCACTACTACCTCTACCAGTACTACTACTACTACTACCACCACCTCTACCACTACTACTACTACCACCACTACCTCTTCCTGCCTATATATAGCCGTCCTGCTCCACTTCTGGTTAGTGTGACTTTGTAAATGGTCCAAGTTGGACCGAAAGGCGGGTTATTTGTGTATCGTTCCAGTCACGGTATTGTGCCTTTTTTTGTTACTCCTTCTTTAGCTCTAACTCTATTTGAAACCCCTGACCTAATCCCATTTATTCCTCCCCACTGAAACTCTCCCACCCCCTTCAGCTTTGTTTCACTTAAAGCCAAGACATCCAGCTTCTTCTCATTCATAACATCCACAATCATCTCTTTCTTATCATTTGCACAACATCCATGCACATTCAGACTTCCCACTTTGACAATTTCCTTCTTATTCTTTTTAGTAAACTTTACAGGAAAAGGGATTACTAGCCCATTGTTCCCGGCATTTTAGTTGACTATTACGGAGGAAAGATTCTTATTCCACTTCCCGCTGCTGCTGCTGCTGCTGCTGCTGCTGCTGCTGCTGCCGCTGCCGCTGCCGCTGCTGCTGCCGCTGCTGCTGCCGCTGCTGCTGCCGCCGCTGCTGCCGCCGCTGCTGCCGCCACTGCTGCCGCCGCTGCTGCTGCTGCCACCGCCGCTGCCTCTTCTTCTTCTTCTTCTTCTTCCTGCCTATATATAACCGTCCTGCTCCACTTCTGGTTAGTGTGACTTTGTATGTGGTCCAAGTCGGACTGAAACGTCGTCGTAAGCTCCTCTCTTCTATGTGCGGGTTATATGTGTATATTCCTCCTCGTCTTTCAATCCTGACCAGCACCAATTCCTGGTGATAATTGGTGCTGGTCAGGAGTATGCCCCTCACATGTCATCTCTGTACCACAACATCAATTAAATAATGACCATTGAACAAGGTAGACAAAGGCTGTCTTGGGAAGAAAGTGTAACAGGCATCCCTGCGGATTTGCTAGGTTTTGCGTTCCTGGAGGCCCTATGAAACTAAAAACTAAGATTAATGTAAAAATTATGTTTGCATGAGAAGTTTTATTTCAGATTTGAGTTCATTTTGTGTTTGAATGATCATAAGTGTGTAATACAGCACTCTAATCTGGTTAATATTGACATTTATAAGAATGAAGCACCAAAATGGAGATTTCATTAAAGGAAAGCCACTGAGAACATTTTGAGTGAACTCTTTCAGTCATTTCAAGTGAGTACCACCATAATTATTTTTATACTGTTCATCAGTAAAAATGTTGGATAATGGAAACTTACAAATAGGAAATCCCACATAATTGTAGGGAAGACTGTATAAAACTGTAGCAGAGATAGGTGAGGTAGTTAAAGCAGGGATAGATATGATAAAGAGGGGTTTGGGATATTTGCAGTTTGGAGTGACATCTGAATTGTCACAATGTGTGTGCCTCTGCAAAGACAGTGATTATGTGTGAATGATGGTGAAAGCATTTCTTTCTTTCTTTTTTTGGGTCACCCTGCCTCAGTGGGAGACAGTTAGCATGTTAAAAAAAAAAATTATGATAAAATTCCTGATACAGAAGAGTACCTGGCTGCAGTTAAACCACAGATTTTAAACTCAAACTCTCATTATTGTTTACAACACTAACACTCAGCTTCCATACTATACTTACACATTCCCGTCTCCACTTATGCATTCAGGTCTCCAAAAATAGTTTATCGACTATTGTGATACAAAAATATTTGGGGGCAACAGAGATTAAATCTGTATGTAGAGTACAGAGATTCCTGAATCACTTGCTCCATATAATAACAAGTTAACTGTAATACATTCAAAATATCCAGAATAATTTGGGAAACTTTGGAAGCTTTCCAGAATGGTGAGAACCTCAGCTGTCCCATGTTTACTGCTGTTCTACTTGTTAATTTGTCATGATCACCTGACTCTTAACTGATTTTTTTTTAATATGCTGGCTGTCTCGCACTGAGGCAGGGTGATCAAAAAAAAAAAGAAAGAAACACTTTCACCATCATTCACACATAATCCTCAGATGTACTATTTATAAAATCCTTCAGAACATTCCCCATTAATGCACTCGTTTTGTTTTGTTTTTTGCAGTGCCTCGTAAAAGAGATGAACCACTGTTGTCCAAGTTGGATGAGCGTGTACCAGAACATGTTGACTACCTGAGTGTGTCTTACGGTGTTACTCGACCACTTCTCAAATTCTGGTGTCGAGCTGGATACCTTCCACTGTATGTCAGGTTAGTTCTCTTCCTCCAAACATTTTTTTAATATTTTTTCTTTCTTTCAACAAGCCAGCCATATCCCACCAAGGCAGGGTGACCCAAAAGGAAAAATGAAAGCTTCTCTTTAAAATTTATTAATATACTATACAGGAGAAGAGGTTACTAGCCCCTTGCTCTTGGCATTTTAGTCGCCTCTTACTACACGCCTGGCTTACAGAGGAAGAATTCTGTTCCACTTCCCCATGGAGTTTTAATATTTTATATTAATCAAATTATTTTATGTAATTATAATGTAACTTAATCCTTTAAGTGTTTCGAACATACTAGAATGCAGGTACTAGTACTGTGTCTGATGAACTAGTTCCCACAACTTTTTGTACCTACAACTCTGCCTCCTTCCTATATTTTTGACCTCACCACAACACTTTGGGTCTTCTTCCATCTATTTATACATTTGAAAAAATCTAAGGCCTGCAGGGTCCACACAGTTTATCATGGTTAGCTACTTGGGATGATTGTGTCTTGATGTACTAGTAAAGATAAACAAAAGGAACCAGGAGCTGTTGCTTCACTGCCAGCTTCCCTACCCATACAAATGGTGGAATTCAAACACAAAGCACAGTTAAGTACAGTAGGGACCTGTACTGACTGCCGGATTAATGATGGCCCACCTGTATTATATCATAATACAAACACTGTACATTATGTACGTTTCCACGTTGATACAGTAGAATAAATAAAGACCAACACTTCTATTCTCATGTAATTTTTAGAAGGAATGATGCTCTGACAAATTATTATTATTATTATTACAAGTTATTATTGTTTTTACAAGTTATTATTTTTATAATCATAATAAAAAAGAAGCACTAAACCCAAAATGGTCATGAATAGGTATAGATAGAGTGAAGGCATACGAGAGGAATAAATTTCTAGTTAAGTTACTGGTGTTTAACTAGAGAAAACATAATTCTTCGACTCTCCTACCAAACACTTGGTAAACAGATGTCATATTTATATCAGTTTTTATACTGTGGGTGTATGTATCATGTTTATATGTTACATAGCATGTTTATTACATAATTTTGAAAAGAATATAAATGGATTAATGGAAATGTCTATATAAACGTAATATACAACATTTAATGCCCCCCCCCCCATGGCGTCGAATAGAGAGAGACTTAGTGATTTTAATGTGTACCTGCATGGCAGCACTGTGTGTAAGCATATTTAGGTACAGGTACACATAAGTATAATTATCAGAATACATATAAAATATGCAATGACTTGAAAACACTTGAAATTTTGGAAAATTTCCGGACATAATAGAGAGTTGTGTTCATGGAGAATGTAAACAAACTGGGTGGGGTGCGCCATATTTGAAAGCCCGTTCACTGTATAGAAAATTTTGATCATAATTTGAAATTGCCGTATTAGCGGAACGCCGTAAGGCAAAACGCTGTAAAGCGGGGCCCTGCTGTACCATATTACTATATTTAATTTGTATTTTATATATTTTTAGTTCATACTTAGTTGTACTTTAGCTCATTCTAGCATAACACTTAGACAACATCAACTTCATTATGTTTATTAGTGACTATACTCTATATGACCAAAGTGCTTTAACTATATACTTGTCCAAACTTCCCACTACTACAGATATCAGTACTAGAACTCAACACACAATTCACGACATAAATAACCACAAGTGAAACCTAGAAGATGAATGATCACGTCGACCCTGATATAAACCTCCATAATCTAACACCCAGTCAAAACCTACTGGAAAGTAACTGCCTTTATTACACAGCATCACAAGCCAGCACTATCCTAAGCAGTGCTAAAAATCTATCAGTTCTTAACTACAACATCAGGTCCTTAAGCAAACACTATGATGACCTCCTGGCACTCCTTGAGTCGCTAAAGACACCTTTCTCCTGCATTATTCTTACCGAGACCTGGCTTAAGCAGGACACAATAGATATCTACCCTCTACTAGGATACACAGCAATCCACAACTGCAGACCAAACCAAGTTGGGGGTGGTATTGAAATCTATTACTCTAACCAACTATCTTGTATTAACACCACTTGCTTTAGTGATGAATATGGGGAATACATTTTTGCTAATTTTACTGTGAAAAACCTTAAGATGCCTATAACAATCGGTGCCATTTACCGGATACCCCACACAAACATCCCAAATTTCAGTGAGAAATTAAAGGCACTAATAACAAACAAACAAATGAACAAGCACCACCTTCTCTTAGCTGGAGACTTAATATCATCCTTGGCCTACTAGATGATCAGCCTGTAACTGATTTCATCAACAATATGAATAACACACTTCTCATACCAACAATAACTAAACCAACCAGGCTCACTGAGACAAGTGCAACCATAATAGACCACATATGGACCAATATACTAGCCCCCCTCAAATCAGGGATAATCACAGACAGCACTACAGACCACTACCCTACCTTACTCTTAACAAACGTTAGTAAACCACCACTGGAATACAACAAAGTTTCATTTAGGCTCCATGACGAGGCCTCAATGAGGAAGTTCACAGCAGACCTAGAGACTGATGACTGGCCTACAGAATTCTCCAAGGTCAATGGTATTGACGATTGGACAGACATTTTACTTAACAAATTACTTAGACTATACAACAAACATTGTTCTATAAAAACAAAACAGATCACGAATAAACGGCTCGGTTGCCCACGGTAACCAGCAGCATTCTGAAATCCATTGATAAGAAACACAAATATAAAAAGCAATATAGACAGGGCTTAATACATAAAGATATTCTTAAACCTATTCATCAGTTCTTACTAAAGTAATAAAGAAAGCCAAACAGCTGTACTACTCCAGCAGATTCATTGACACAAGAGGAGACATAAAAAAGACCTGGAAAACGCTCTCTCAGATTCTGGGCACCCACAAACTGAAAAAAAAAACAAGAATATTGTCCTAACTAAACCTAATGAAACACCACTGCATCCCACTGAAACAGCTAACAAGATAAACGACTTCTTCTCACCCATAGGATCTAATCTTGCCAGTAAAATCCCACGTACCAACGCCCATGCCGGGGACTATCTAGATGGGAATTTCCCAAATTCCTTCTATCTTTTTCCGACTGAGCCCACCGAAGTCACTGAGATTATAAAGTCACTTAAAAATAACTCAGGGAACCTGTCTCATGTCCCACCATTATTGTACAAGCGAGTGGCCCATGTCTTTTCGCAAGCTATTTCATTACTTTTTAACAAGTCACTAGAAACTAGCACCTTCCCGAAACTATTCAAGACAGCAAGGGTTACACCAATACATAAAGGTGGTGACCCTACAGTTGTAAACATAGGCCAATATCAAACTTACCATTGCTATCCAAAATCTTCGAGAAACTCGTGCACAGGAGACTGTATTCATTTATAACGGCACAAAACATGCTCAACCCCTGCTAATTTGGATTCAGGAAAAATAAAAGCACTAATGATGCAATTGTAAAATTGCTAGATCTGCTTTACACAGCATTGGAAAATAAGGAATATCCACTAGGAATTTTTATTGACCTAAGAAAAGCTTTTGACACAGTAGATCACGGCATCCTACTCCACAAACTTGACCATTATGGTATAAGAGGCCATGCGCTTGCATATTTCAAATCTTACCTTACTAATAGGTATCAGTATGTCACCATTAAAGACACAGCATCATCAACACGGCCACTTGATACTGGAGTTCCACAGGGAAGTGTCCTTGGACCCCTGCTCTTCCTCATTTACATCATTGATCTTCCAAACGTATCCTAACACCTGAAACCCATTCTCTTTGCTGACGACACGACTTACGTCATCTCTCACCCTAATCTTGCCACCCTCAACACCATTGTTAATGAGGAGCTGCTCAAATTATCAACTTGGATGACAACCAATAAACTTACACTTAACACTGACAAAACCTACTATATTATGTTTGGTAGCAGAGCAGATGCTGCGCAACTTAACATTAAGATCGACAGCACTCTAATTGCCAGACATAATGAGGGCAAATTTCTAGGCCTATACCTCGACAACAACCTGAATTTCAGCACCCATATCCAACACATATCAAGTATCCAAAACAGCTGGGGTACTTTCCAAGATACGATACTACGTGCCGCAAAATGCCCTTCTCACACTATACCATTCACTCATTTATCCATACCTAACCTATGCTATTTGTGCTTGGGGATCAACTGCAGCAATACACCTAAAGCCAATAATAACTCAACAAAAAGCTGCAATAAGAATAATCACTAATTCCCATCCCTGGCAACACCCCCCCCCCACTCTTTATAGATCTAAACTTACTCCCTGTTCAGAACATCCACACTTACTGCTGTGCAATCTACATATACAGGACCTTAAATTCCAATATTAACCTTGACCTAAAATGCTTTCTTGATAGTTGTGACAGGACCCACAGGCATAACACCAGACACAAACATCTCTGTGACATTCCCCGTGTCCGACTAAACCTTCACAAATATTCAATGTATGTCAAAGGCCCTAAAACACACTACCTGAAAACTCTAGAACAGCATATACATTCATCACCTTCAAAACTACTGTTAGAAAACATCTTATCTCCCTGATACACCCCATCAACTAACTACATAAAAACCACCTGGTGGTCCACATTTACACTCACTCACACACCCATTTGACTATAAGCACAGAAATATGTATCCTAATCTTAAAATAATGATTCCAAACTAGTCATAAGTTTGCCTGTGATACTCCAATATAGAAACTATGTATTGTGCCAAAACAAAAGCATTCACATTGCTAAATTCACAAACTAGTGTTTGTCACTTAGTATTTAGTCAACTTACTCCACAATTTGTTATAATTTAGGGTTAAGAATTAATCTAAGTTTGCCCGAAATGCCTAGCCATGCTAGGTGTTCTAGTGGCCCCCTCTGTAATTATTATTTTACTACATATAAACCACACAATAACCA